GAGCAGGGAGCCCGATGCGGGACTCGATCCCGGGACTCCAGGATCATGACCTGAGCCGAAGGCAGTCGCTTAACCAACTGAGCCACCCAGGCACCCGAGTGTATTTTCTTAAAATAAGTAAGACTAACATTTTCCTTCAGGATAGAGAAAAAATATCACACTCTTACGGAATACCACTAATGGTTTCCAAGCCATTAGCCTATGCAGGGAAACACAAATCATTTCCTTATTTTGTTGGGAGAGAGAGACTCCAAACTTTGTAATTACAGGATAGGTCATGCCCAGATTCATTTCATTTCATTTTTTTTTTTTTTTAAGGAACAACAAATAATGGTCAATATTCTCCATTGCCCCTACTACCACCTCCACACTTCCTCCAGCCCCATAAAACATTACCCACCAAAAATGTATCGGGTTTAGGATGTCTGGCCCAGGCCTGTTCTTCCTTGTCAGACTATATACTGAGATGTCACTTCCTACCTTCTAAAGCCAAACCAGCAAAACCAGAGGAAATGAGCTGGGGCACTGAGCAGTGGCAGTGGAATGGTGAAAAGAAAGAAGCTCTGAACCAGGACCTACTTCAAGCCATTAGTCAGAAAGCAGAGCCTTGTGGAACTTGAACAGTTCCACATTCTATTTTTGGATCTTCCTTAATACAAACTTGTCTGGGCAAGTTCTCCCAATCTCTCCAATACTCGGTTCCCCTTATGCAACATTTTTCAAGTAGAGAAAGCAAAATTCTTTCATAATTATTGCCATTAACAAATGACTACCAATAATAGGTGTTATGGTTCAGAGCCTGAACACAACTCCATACATATTTTCACAATAAGAAGGTTAACCTTTTCCAGCCTATTAACTTCTTTACAGGCATATCAAGTTTAACATTCAATTACATTGTGTCGAAACAAACCTGGTTGCCGTCTCCCCAAGTTCCTGCAGCGGTCCATACTTATCTATATACTTCTCACAAGATCTTATGTGTGCCCTCATTTCGCTGAGGCAAACCTATATAAAAGCAAATTCAAAATAAAGTCCCTGTTGAAAAGGGGCTCAATGAAGTCTTATGTGATCCAGCTTTATTACTTTCATTATTGCAAATAAGGTCATAGCAATGGGTCAGCTGATTAAAAGGATGTATTCATGACAAGAGTACAACAAAGTTAAGGCACTATCAAGAATAACACTTTACAAATGTCTCTAATACTTAGAAGACCCAAATGTTGAGTTCTTGAGTTTGTTCTTCTAGAAAGCATATATTTTTTATTTTACTTTTATTTTTTAAATATTTATTTACTTATTTATTTGAGAGAGTGAGCACACACACGCGAGTGAGCAAGGGGAGGGGCAAAGGGAGAGGGAGAGAGAATCCTCAAGCTGACTCCATGCTGAGCGCAGAGCCTGATGCAGGGCTCGATCCTAGGACCCTGAGATCATGACCCGAGCCAAAATCACGAG